CCTCCCTGCATTGGACTTGGTGCATAGATAATGCACTGCAGTCTCTGAAGAGAGTTCCAGTTAAGGACTTAGGCCTCCCCAGCTGACCCTGTTCTTGGAACATTAGTATTCCTATCTCTAGCACCTTCATTCCCAGGTCTCTTTATCTGAGGCCATGAGCTTGGTCCTCCACAGCGAATTTTGCCAAGAGCTTCTTATGAGGGAACAAAGGAGAAATGTTGAAGATACTTTTCCTACTCTGACTCAGTACTTTTCCACTCCTATCCTTTTCTCCTTGCTTTCCCCAATCCCAGGGCCATAAAACTGCCAGAGCCTTTTATACAGGGTTCCCTCATTAGTAAGATGATCCTCACATCTGTGCTGATCCATTTGACCTTCAGCCAGTAGACTATTCATGGGTGTGTGTGTGTGTGTGTGTGTGTGTGTGTGTGTGTGTAACAGAGGAAGCAGGTATTGTTTCCATTTTAGGCTCTTGCTTATACTATTGTACAGTGATTAAAGGCTTAACCATTTCATTTTTGGCTTGTTGATTTATGTGACACCTGGAAGCTCAGCTCTCTTTCCAGGCTCTAACAAGTCAATGGTTTCTAGTCTAAGGATGTCTGTCTTCCTAACAGTAATTGAGGGATCAAGGGATTCAACAAGGGCCAAATGTAACTGGGGAGTGTCAGGAGGATATAACATAGCCACTTGAGGAGGGAAAAATCCTCTTATCCTTGTTTGGGACACAAGCTCATCTTCTAATAACCCCCTATTCTGTATATCTTTCATTTGCCCTCCCATATCATTCTCTACTTTTCCGTAGCTTGATTTGTGCCAAGGAAGCTGATCTATAGTGATTGATTCATTGAGCTCCTTCACACTTCTTCCAGCTGGGTGTGGCCAATGGAAGGCACAAAGCAGAGATTTAGATTTGGGAGGAGAGTTAGGTCAGGGTATTTATTTCCCTGGTTTCCTCCCCATCAGATTGTCATTGGATGGCTGTATGTCTCCACTGAAGGTGATAAAGATTCTTTGCTTGGCCAAATTTTAATCAGGCTGCTGAACTTCTCTCTAGGGCCATCTGTGCACTTCCTTGTATAGTTCAGTTTTAGCCAAAACCCCTGCTAAGTCAGTAGGGTAAGAACTCTAGCCCTCAACATCTCATCACTTTCATTATTTGATTAAAAGTGATCCACCACCACCCCAGGTAATGTCTAGCCACTCTGGCCTATCTTCAGCAAGAATTGTTAGGTTGGTGTAGTAAAAAATCTCCCTTACCTCTGGTAGTTGTTCTTAGTAATTTTCCACTTTCTAACTCCAGCCCTGTTCCTTGGGTGAAAATTCCCATTTGCCACTGGTGTTTTCAGAGCTGAGATCAAACTCTTTTTTCTACTGCAAAATTTCATTGTCAAAGCCCCTATAACTATTGCAATGGTTCTCAAAAAGGCTTCTACCATACTTTCACAAGAACAGTAAGTTTTTCTTTAACAAAGACCACAGATTGTCAAGGTAGCTCGCTTGACCACTCTCTCCTCTTCAGTCCTAGGTGTTTTCTGACTATTGTGCCATCTTTCATTCATTTTTCCTAAATGTTGCCTTAACCTCTTAAGTGTTCTCTTTCTATATCTCTGAAAATTATTCAGTTTGAGTACATAATCTGTTTCTTGCTAATAACTTGACTGACTTATAGAGCTCCTTATATTAGTATCCCACTCAAAAAAGGAAAATGAGAACTAGTAAAATAATTTTAAGACTTTGAGGCTAAAAGGTAATGCTGTAGATTTAAAAATTATTTAAATGTATATATCAATAAGCAACACGTAGTCAATGATGGACTGCATATACACGAGTGATTGTATAAGATTATAATGGTTTGAAAGATTACTATTGCCTGGAGAAGTTGTAGCTACTGTAATATTATAGTGTAATGCATTATTCATATGTTTGTGATGATGCTGTGCTGCCAGTCATACAAAGTATAACACATACAATTATATATGGCACATAATGCTTGGTAATAATATGCTACTATGTTACTAGTGCATGTATTTATTACAAGCCTTTTTTAAGATTTTTTTTGAGACAGGGTCTTGCTATGTAGTTCAGGCTGCCCTTGAACTCACTGTGTAGCCCAGGCTGGTCTCCAACTCATAGCAACCCTCCTGCCTCAGCCTCCTAAGTGCTGGGATTGTAGGCATGTGCCACTACCCTTGGCTATTACAGGCATTTTAGAGTGCACTCCTACTTATTAAAAAAAGTTTACCATAAAGAACATACTGTGTCATGACAACAGCAGTCTTATGTATCTTGTATTTACTGCATCTCTTGATTGTATCAATAAGGGCCACATTGAGTAATTGATCTATACTATCTAGGTTTGTATACATGAACTCTATTTTCCCAATGACACATTACAATGCAGCGTATTAGGATACAAGTGAAAGTTATGAAGAAACATTTAGCACAACATCTCACATACAGTAAGCATTCCATATACAGTATCTGCTTAATGTTATTAACATATTAGCAAACAAGCTGGGCCTGGTGGCACATGCCTGTAATCTCAGCATTTGGGAGGCTAAGTTAGGAGGATCACTATGAGTTTGAGGCTAGCCTGGGCTACATAGTGAGTTCAAGGCCAGCAAAGACCACACAGTGAGACTTTATCTCATAAAAAACAAAAAACAAGAAACAAACAAAAAACATGTTAGCAAACAGTAATTTGTGTGAATTGTGTGTCTGAAAATGATGAGCAAATGTTTTGTAATATATTACAAGAGAGTTGATGGTCAATGTACTAAGAATTTCTTAGCAGTAAAACTGCCAGTGAGAAGAACCTGAGGATTGAGCTTCTATATCTGAGAATCTGGCACTCATCACTTGACTCAAGGTTTTGATACATCTCTAAATGAGAACTGTGATAATTTAAAAATATCCACACAGGGCCAGGGATTTAGCTCAGTGGTTCTGCAGCCTGCCTCACATGTGCAAGGACTGGAGTTCAATCCCCGGTACCAAAAAAAATAATAATAATAAAAAAATAAAAATAAAAATAAAAATATCCACACAAATTCTTTGACATGCTTGTCCTCAAAAGGTAGTATAACATCCAAAAGACCATTATGTCATCTTCAGATAAAGACAGTTTAATTTCTTTCCTTCCAAACTATGCCTTTTATTTCCTTTTCTTACTTTATTGTGTTGCCTAGGACTTGCAGTACTATGCTGAATAAGAGTTATGAGAACACATATCTTTTTTATGTTGTTAATGTTAGGGAAAAAACATTCAGTGTATTACTTTTGAGACATGGACATAAAAGGTATTTTGGCTTTCTCTTTACTTTTCCTTTCTTTTTGGATCAGTTGCTCTGGGAGAAGCTAATTCTGTAAAATGAGAGATCCAAATGCTAATAAAAAAAGAACTCTTGCTAATGGCCATGTGAATATCATCTCGGAAGTGGATCCTCCAAACTCAGTCAAGTCTTCAAATGATGACACCTGGATGACATTTTGACTACATGTGTACTTCATGAGAAACCCCAAGTCTGAATTATCTACTCAGCTGCTTATGAATTCTTTTTTTTTGGTACTGGAGATCGAACTCGGGTCCTTGCACTTGCACAGCAGGCAGCGAAACCACTGAGCTAAATCCCCGGCCCTGCTTATGAATTCTTAACTCACAATAACCACAAAGTAATAAATGTTTATTGATATAAAAATGTTAAGCCACAATGTTTTGGTATAATGTGTTACACGAAAGCAGAAAATGAGTACAGAAATAAAATTCTACTCCATCTGTAAAAAGTATCAGTTAAATTCCTTAACTAATTTTATTCATTCCCCTCTCCAGTCCAGCCTAAGTAACAGTGCACACGCAAATTCACTAAACTTAGTACATCGAGAATTTATACACAAAACTTTCCCTATGTAACTTATTTAAAAACTAAACTCTAGCTTCTGAGTCTAAAGTTCAGTCAAAACAACCAGAGTACATTCTATTTTCATAATGGTATAACTTAAGTAGCGTAAAGCAACATAAATTATCTTTAGAGTAACAATGGAGATGTTATTGTTTCACCTTCAATGAGGGAAACTAAAGCATTAATTTAAAAATAAGTAGACCCTAATGAGATGTTACACTAATAATTCATTGACAGATTTATGAAATTTGCTCCTTTGGGAATCTTAAAGAATAGGATTTTCCTTTTTTTTTGGTACCGGAGATCGAACTCAGGACCTTGCGCTTGCGAGGCAGGTGGCGGAAACACTGAGCTAAATCCTCGGCCCAAGAATAGGATTTATGTCCATTTAATAGGATGTATTAGCTGCACAGCTGCCTCAAAGAAGGAGATGCATAGAACCTCTGGAAGTTCTTCTCATCCCTGTGATTCTCAATTTGAACTTTATATAAAGAAGAGAATAGACAATTGTCTGTTTATGAGGGACCTCCAGCAAAATGTTGCTCTTGGCCCACCAATGCTTTGTAAAACCTAGGGGGAGTTAGTTTTACCTGAAAACAATTCAAATTTTATCCGTGGACTGTAGAGAAAATTTCATCCTGCTTTTTGCCTGGTTAGGGTTTTCTGAGCAAAGAAAACTGTACCTGCTGTAGAGAACATGTCTTGTAAGTTAAGTGTTATTCAGTAGTCAGAGACCTATGAAGAGATCTACTTCCTTATTGGAGATTTACTTCCTTATTATTTATGTTTCAAAGGAGGTAAAGAGAGTCAGTTGTTTACATTCCAAAGAAGTATAAATACCTAGGTTTCTCTCCTCTCAGGAGTGGAGCGGGTTGCCTATTTTAACCACAGAGTTAATTATTTTGGGACTTCTCTTCTGCAGTAGAAGTCCCTGTGTATATGCAGGATGACATCTGACTTTCACTGGAAGACCTGAGGCTAATGGATATGGGAAACCAGTATAGTTATTGCTATAAGTAATAATGACCATGATCTTTGCTCCAGAAACCTCATAGTTTATCCTCATAGGATAAAATGAACAAATATAAATGTACTTACCACAAATGGGAGGATGCACTCATGTTGGTTCTGTACCATGTATAAACTGAACAGAGACATGCGACTAGGGCCCATCAAGCTGCAGGCTAGAGAGAAAAAGTTCTGAAGAGCTTCACAAAGGTTAGAGCAGATGTCAGCCCAGGATGGTAGAGCAATGTGCACAATGAGAAGTCGAGGAGGTTGCTGGTTAATCTGGGTGGCAGAGGGGGATCCTTTGGCAATAGTTCGCCCATGATGCATGGCAGCCAAACCAGCTGGAATTACAGCCACAACGTGGCTATTCTCTATACCTACAAGGAAGGAAAGAAACCACTAGCTTTCATAAAACTGAATTATATGCTCTGTTGAAACAAAGAATACAAGTTGAAGGTACTAGGCCCAGGAAAGAGTCAGACTGGGTACCAAATCAAGCCTTTCTAGGCTATCCTATGTTAATAGCACCCAAGGGATCTAGATGTTTGACTAAAAGCCTGAGAATTCTTAGAGATGCTAATAAAGAAGTTACTCAAAAGTCAAATTTCAGTTTCAAAGTAAGGTATCTGGTTTCTAAACTTTGTTTCTTTATTAGCATTTATTGTACTATATTGTAATTTGTTTCTATAACTGCATCTCCCTCTATATTGTGAGATTTCCAAAGGTGTAGAGCCTATCTCATTAATTTTATTCATCAGTGTTTAGCATAATGTTTGAACCACAGTAATTCTTACAAATAAAAATTTGATCATATTTCTCCCTTGGATGAAATTACTGGGTTGTTCCTATCTCCTATAAGGTAAAATTTAAACTTTCTTCAAGACCATTCCCAGGACTCAGATAAAGAAATAAGAGAAAAATGAGTGCAAAGAACCATTGTCAGGAATGAGAAGGGGATACATGACAAATGCTCAAACATGAAAAGGGCTCTAAGGAGACACAATGAACAACTTTATGACAATAAATTTGATAAAATGAACAAATTCCTAAAAAAATGTAATCAATGCTAAATGAAAAAGAAATTTTAGAAACCTAAGTGGTCTGTGACTATTAAAGAAATTTAACTGGTGTAAGCATCATCTCCTGTCAGTTTATGTTTTTTCTGTTTTGAGACAGGGTCTCGCTGGTGAGTTCAGGCTGGTCTTGAACTCACTATGTAGCCCACCTAGGCCGGCCTTGAACTCACTTCAGTCCTTCTGCCTCAGCCTCTTGAGTGCTGGGATTATAGTAGTGTGCTACCACGCCTGGTGCATCTGTTCTTTTTAAATATTAATTTAGATGACATCTTTTAAAATTTCAGTTTTAGTTTTTTGCAAATGTATAGAACTAATTGAGTTTTTGTATATTAATTTTGCATTTGAAAACACTTCTGTATTCTCTCACTAAATACAGTAATTTATCTGTAGATCTTTTCAGATTTTTTGTTTTCAATCAGATAACCTGTAAAAAAAAATATGCACGGGCTGGGGATTTAGCTCAGTGGTTTTGCGGCCTGCTGCACAGGTGCAAGGACCTGGGTTTGATCCCCGGTACCAAAAAAAAAAAAAAAAGATATGCACCAGGGTACAGGAACAAAGTCAGATCATAACAGCAAAAGATTATAACAGTCTCATTCACAATTAATCCAAAGTGGGTAAAACAAATGTCAATCTACATTAAAATGGATAAATTGTGGTATATTCACACATATACTGATGAAAATGAATGAACTAGTTAGCAACAACACAGATAAATCTAAGAAAGATAATAATGAATAAAAACAAGACACAGAATACATATACATATAGCATGATTAGCTATGATAGCTATGTAAATGACATAGCTTTAAAAATAATGTAAAATAGCTATACTGTCTAGGGATGCATACATAGTAATAAAACTGTAAAGAAAAGCAAGAAAATAATTATCACAAAAATTAGGATAGTGATCTTTCTGTGGAAAAGGAGAGTACTATGACTAGAAGGGACAAAGGGTGTGTCAGGTAAAAAAGCCGAAAACCAAGACCAGACCAGGCCACAACAAGCCTTTATTATAGGAACAATCTGCTGGGCTGTCTCTGAACAAAGGAGAAACAAAAGCAATATGGCCAGGGAGGGAGCGCTTCTTATAGGAGGTGGGGTGGGGTTAAGTGAGGTAGTGGCTGGGGACTGGAGGAGCCTGTGATGTCACTAGTTGCTAGGAGGAGAGCAAGTATTAGATTATTCTTTTGGGGGGAATAGGGGCATGTTGGAAAGAAGGTGGCTATTATACACAGCAGCCACCCTAAATTGGAGGGAAATCTATCAGGCTGAGGTTCTGGTAATGTTTTATTTCTTTTTTTTAAAATATGGAATGTTTCATGAATTTGTGTGTCATCCTTGCAAAGGGGCCATGCTAATCTTCTCTGTATCGTTCCAATTTTAGTATATATGCTGCCAAAGCAAGCACTAATGTTCTATTTCTTGATCTTTATTGTGGTTACTTCATAATAAACTATATGCACATGATTTTATGACATTTTTTCTATATATGTTATATTTTTCAATGAGAATATCACAAGAAAACATTAGGACAATCATAAAACAAAAGAAGCAAAATAAAAGATTAAAAAAATGTCTCCACCTCTAGGAACTAAAATGATTTTACATAATTTTTTTAAGCTAAAAAATGCAGAGCAAATTAAAAATTCTTTAAAAGAAAGATAATTGTGAATTTCTCAGAAACACTGTGGAATTTGGAATCTTTAAAAATGATTTGGGGGATGGGTGTGGTGGCATAGGCCTATAATCCCAGCACTCGATGGCTAGGCAGGAAGATCACTGAAAATTCAAGACTAGCCTGGGCTACATAGTGAGTTCAAGGTCAGTCTGGACTATACAGCAAGACCTTGTCTCAAAAAACAAAAAACAAGGGCCGGGGATTTATCTCAGTGGTGCCACTGCCTGCCCCGCAAGCCCAAGGTCCTGAGTTCGATCCCCAGTACCAAAAAAAAAACACCCAAAAACAAAAAACAAAATTGTCAGGTCTGACTTAAGCAAGTCCTTCACAAACAAATGGGACAAAGTAAACAGGCTGCTTTTGGCAAACAACAGCAGCTTCCCAGTAAATAGGGCAAATGGACTCAAAATGTAGTATATATAACTCCCTTGGTGCCAAGAAGTCCAGTAATTGTGTACATACCCGAACAGACCATCCTTGGGCATCCAAGTCCTAAATATTTCTTTGTCCCTTCAAAACCTATATAAACCTAATTCCTTTCCCAATTAGTTGCTAATATCTCTCTCCCCGAAATCTCTCCCAGCTAGCTGCCATGATCTCTCTCTCCCAATGTCAGCCCATCCACACACAGATGTAAGAAACTCGGCTTTTCCCAGCTAGCTGCTAGAATCTCCTGATTTTAGTCTCTGTTAACTGGAATAAACTTTCCATTCAAAAGCCTGGTTTTTTGACAAGTGGATTCTTTATGACAAAAATTTTAAAAAAGATTTGAGATAGATTTTTTCAGATGAATCTGTGAAATTATTGTCTTCAAAGTTCCCTCCAAATTCATGGAATTTGTCATTTGTTCATTCAATAATTTTTATTGAGTTCCAATTATGTATTATTGCTGAAAAAAATGAATATGTTAATTCATTGAAAATAATCTACCAGAAATCCCAATTAATGACTAAACTATTTATCAAGATAGCACGTACTATAAATGTCTCTTAACTATACTTTTAAGTGCATGGGGCAATTTCTACATAGAAAACTGAATTTGAAACACAACTTGATACAGACAAATATGTAGGTACCCATAGATCTTAACTTCCCTTATCCATCTTCCTTCACATCTGAAAATACTGTCATTTTAGATACAGGTAGCACTCACTTAGCATGGTTCCAACATATACAGATTTCAAGTATTACAGTGTAATTAGTACTAGTCCTCCATCAACAGTTTAATTACACAAAGTGCAAATTGCACATAGTTCTTCAGCCCACAAATCATTCTGTAAACAATAGATACACATCATATCCACAATCAGTTATGTCACTTCTCTTAAAATCTTTCAGTGGTCACTGTAGATCTGTTATTCAGTTTGTGCATAGACAGCACAGTGGGTAATTGTGTTACTTCCTTGTCTTTTTGTGATAAATTCACATGACATTTTACAAAAATAAAAAAATTGAAACAGGGAATTGGCCAAAAAAAAAAAAAAAAGTAAAGCAAAGAAACAAAAAGTGATAATGCTAGAAGTGAAAATTATGGAGAGTGGGTGGTTTTTGAGACATGGTCTTGTTATGTAGCTCAAGATGGCCTTGAAGATTTTCAGTTAGGAAACAAATGTAACTTCCTCCATTAAGAATCTTTGCAATTTCAGCTTGCTAAGTCATTTTTAGACCCCACATTAAAGTGCAATTGGAAGACTGTCCTTTAAATGAGGTAAAGGTCTGCTCTCTACTCTCTCTCCTCAGATGTATCAAATAATGCATGGGATGTGTCTGGGCATACTAATAAACAGGATCTGACTTTCTTTTTCTTTTGTTTTGAGACAGGGTCTCACTATGTAGTTCAGACTGGCCTCAAAGGCATGGGGAGATCCTCCTGGCTTAGCCTTCCCAGTTCTAGGATCACAGGAGTAGTCACCACACCTGCCTGACTTTATTTCTGATCCTATACTCTACTTTTCCCAAGAATACCCATTTAATGCTGTCGCCTGAAAATTGGTTAAACCTTAAACTAGGCCTTGAACCAACAAAAGCAAGTTACTCTAGTACTAAAAACCCTTCAAGGGCTTCTAACTACATTAGGAACAAAACCCAAAGTCCTTACCCTGCCCCCAAAGTTCTGCCTGGTTCTTCCGCTTAGTCTATCCTCAGGTGGAGCCTTCTCCTGTCCACTCCACCCCCAGGCGTCTTTCCCATCCACGGAAAGCAGAGGCCTGCAGTTGAGCTCCTGGCCCGGACGCTTTTTTCCTACCCCACCCCACCCCCATTCTCCCCCACCTACTTAGTCGAGGCTCCTCATTAAAGCAGCCCTAGGCTATGTGTTTATAGCTTGCAGGACGCTTCGCCGTGTGATAAATTATTCAGTGGCTCTCCCTGTGGCAGGGGCCCTTTACAAATTTGGTGGGGGGCTGGGGTGTAGCTCAGTGCCAAAGCTCGTCAGGGTCCGGCGCGGCCCTGGACCGAAAAAAAAAAAAAGTGGTCCTAAGCATCTTTGCCTTCACGCGCTGCTTCTCCCATTAATAATAATAATAAATTAATAAATTTTCGTGGGCCTTAAACATTTTGTTTTTCCCTCATGTGAGGAAAAAAAATGAAAACATTTTCTGTGACCTTAAGGGTTCATTAT